CAAAGATGTATAATTTTCTCTCAACGAAAGAATTTACAAATTTACAAATTTACAAATTTAGTTAAATTATCTCTTTTTATTTTTCTTTATTTCTTTTTTTACTGTTTTGTCAATTTGATACTAAGACAAGAGAGAGAGAGAGATATATATATAAATAGCAAATTAATATATATTTAATACCTTCTACAATAATAATAACAAGTATTTCACTTGTTATTATTAGTAATAATGTAATTACCTTATCATTATATAAAATAATTAATAAAATTAATAAATATTGATCTTAATTTAAAAGTTGATGAAATTATAGAGAAGTAAATAATAAAACAATATCAGCTATTAAAATACTAAGAACAATCAATGACTGCTTAATTTAAAATAAATTACCTACTAAAGAGAATTCCAATGGTTTCCATTCTTTTTATTCCTCTTACATATTTAATATACATGCTTTTCACTTTCTACTTTAAGTTTTTACTTTCGTTTCATAATAAAATAAAATAAAATTTCTTCGATTTGTCTTTCCAAATTTTAATCATAAAAATATAATCACTTATTTATACAAATTATATTGTATTTTTCATAGTTTCGCACGAACCGTGTTACATCTGTTATTGTCATCAAAGATTCAAATATATAATCATTTGACGTCAATTACAAAAATAATTACAAAAATGACAAATTTCAAAATAAACTAAAATATTTCAATAACATAATAAAAGAATATAATACCGTAACAATAAAATATAAAAATGAAAGTAAAATAAAATTCTAAAATTTCGATTAAATAATAGAAGAAATATCAGCTGTTAAAATATTGAGAATAATCGGCACTTACATCGATTGATAAAAATAAATTACTTACTGAAGAGGATCCCGATGCCTCCTGGCCTTCTTATCACGGACATAGTAAGCAATGATAAGAACTGAAATGGCTGCGATGAACGCGCAAGCACAGCCGATAGCAGCATAAAACATTTGTCCGCCTGAAGAGGATCCGGAAGCGGCGACGTGGACTTCCTCCGCCCCTATGTTACTTTTATCCTTTAAACAGATTTTCTTCCGTCGGAAGTCCAAACTGGTGGTGTTCCGTCTCGACAGGGAGACATTTATCCGAAGACTCAGATCGACTTCCGCGTCGTACGGGCCACAATGCAGCGCCAATGCCCAAGTTTGTAGCCCGCCGAGAGGAATTTCACCAGCTTGCGATATGTTCAACGAGCTACTCAAAGCTGACGGATTGCTGATGTCCACCGACATTGTATATGGCAACTGAAAGATTGGAAATAATTGAATGTTCGTCAGATTATTAATTTAGTGACTTTTTTAAACTGTACTATTGGATATCGTTGGATAATTGAAGAACTACTAAGGACAAAAGTTACTTACATTTAAAAGTTAAATATTTCTTATAAGTGGTAAAGTTATTTCATAACTGTTTATAATATTAAAAGATTTGATATTTCTTGTTAATGGATATTCAATATGATATTTTGTTGATATAAACTGAGTTATGCAACAGTATTCTTCAGAGTATCCAAAAATATCCCAACAATATTCAATGAATTTGAGTTGTTGAAATAGAATAAATCAACAGAAAGATAGATTAACAGTTAAATAATCGGCATTGGATTCTTGCAATAATATTATACAATTTACTACGTCGGTTTCTTTATCAAATGAGTGCATTTTAAATTATCTTTTACTAATTTTCACTTTGGTTTTGATCTTTCAAGCGTATATTTCGTCAAAATTTAACTTTATTTTTGGTTTTATTTATAATTACAACCAGAAGTTAACGGAAGTAAATTAGTTATAATAATCTTCTTTCAAATTTGTGAATCATATAATAAAATAGTTATATATTATTCATAACTTTTACACATTTATATTGGGAAGTTCATATGATCTTTCATTAGTCACTTGTAATTCTTTTTATTATATTCATGCATTTCAAAGATATAAACAATTAAATTGTCTCTATCTAATAATAAAAATAAGATTTTGTTTCTTATATTTATTTCCAACTGTTCGTTGCAAACATCAATTCAATCAAAATTTGAATTCAAATCTAAAAGCTATTTAATTTAAATAATTAGTTTGTTTAATTTAATTTAATTTTGTTTTGAAACTAATACTTGAGTACTAATATGTAAAATTTTTATTTAAATTGTAATTAAATTTCGATACTGATATTCTAATTCATTAAATTCTGAAAATATTCATATTAATTCTAATTTAATCATTATAAAATTTCTTTTACAAACATTTTCGTGGTATATTCTATCTAGAAGATGCAGTATTCTTTATTAATAATACAACAAAAATTATATTTTGTCCTTGTATTTCTATAAAGCTTATAATTTGCGAAATTTTTTCAAAAAGTTCAATATTTTATTTGTAAACTATATTTCGCAGGAAAGAATTAAATATTTTTACGCTGAAGATATTAAATTCAATTTCGTTTAAAATTAAAACAATTAAATTATTAAAAATTTCCTCAAACAAAATAATATATTCAATAATAGTGATCAATTCGAATAATCTCGAATGAAAGAAAAATACATTTTCTCTGGCGAATCGACAGAATAAACAAAAGAATTGCTCATCCGTGCGACCAAACTGCAATTTCACGTGCACCAGCGCAACTCGCTAAATGAACACAAATGAACTCGCATTTCCGTGCCGAGTCACGCGTTTACGCGCACCTGTTTCGAGCGAAATGTGCAATTTCCCGTCGGATCCACGAAAAAAGAGAGAGAGAGAGAGAGAGAAAGAAAAGAAAGAAAAGAAAGAAGCTACGGGTGAATGCAAATCACTAGAAATTCCTGATCTACATAGAAATGACTGTTTGCACAAATAAGGGGCAAGAACAAATTGTTAGGGGAAGAAGCGGAAAGGAAAAAAGGAACGAGATAGAG